TACCACCACCACCCCCCTTCCACCGGCAGAGAGCAAGCAAATTAACCAGCTCTGCTGAGGGCTCCATTCTCTTCACGGCAAATCTCAAAGTCTAAATCTGCAAAGGGGCAGGGCAACTCCGTGACACTTTTGGAACCACATTCTTTAACAACTTATCGTTTAAAACAACTCTACCCCAATAATCTATGATAAAAACAAGAGAGCTATGTAGCTTTTACGTTTTTGGGTTGCCCAAGAACAACCGGCAAAGGAGAAACAGTTCGCACTCAGAAAATGGGTTTTCCCCTCCAGGTCTCTTATCAAGGATCAGAAGACAAGCTCCTGTTTCCAGCCAACTTCACTTGAACTTTCTATAGAGGATCTCAGGAAGCAACACGCAACACACACACACAGGCATGCACACACAAATTGGAAACTGGTATTTGGCTTTCTTCTTTATATGGCTTGTATTTCTATTTAAGTATGTGTTATCTTTGTAACTCAAAACACAAATACCTTCATTTGACTAAAAATATAAAGAGAAATTTGGTGTCTTACTTGAAGAGAGTTCATTCGAATAGGACAAGAGGAATGGTGAGAATGTGAGAATAGACAGAGTGAAACTTCTTCATGATATGGGAAATAAAGTACGAGAACACATACCCCAACAATCAACCACAATAAATAGAAGAGAGAAGGACTGAAAAACTAAAAGAAAAAAAAGAAGAAATGTTAATGACAAATGAAACAGGAAGAAAGAGTGGGAAGAGAATAAAGTTCAAAGAGTAAGGATGTTGGGCAGGAATTCAACTTTTGGGTCTTCTTAATGGGCAATGTAGAAAGTTTTATGGAGTAGACTTATAAATGTGTTATTCCATAAAATTTTTTATACATAATTAGTAAAACCTAGGTATATTATACATTTTGCACATAGACTAAAGGATTTTAATCTTTTGTGAAAGTATATGAAAATTTTAAAAATATATATCCTTAAGGCCCGTCTTCACAAAATCATGAATTTTGCAGCAACCTGGATGGAACTGGAGTCTATAATACTGAGTGACATCTCACAGAAACAAAGATCTGAGTATCACATGTTCTCACTCATATAGTGGACCTTGAACATCCATCGTAATACTATAAAGAAAAGAACTGACAGTGGTGGGAAACTATGGGGGGGAGGGGAAGGGAGGTGGGATTAAGGGTAGTAATATCTCCCTGGGGACGGGGAAACACCCCTTATCAACAAGGGTGCCTGAACGAAGCATATTTGTATACCTAACCCTTAACTGTACCCCATAATATCAAAATTTTAAAAATTGAAGGAAAAAAAAAAAAGACCTGTCTTCCATTTCCTTCCAACAAATGCCTTTGACCCTTATTTTCTAAAGAAAATAAGATCTACGAGGCACAGATAGCCTCCTTTCCCATTCCATCAACTACAAACTCATCTATATTCACATTCACCTTCTAGGGCTGAGCCCCACAGTGCCTTGGATCCCATGTCTGTGTCATCTGGGTTCAGTAGCCACTCCCCTGCCTTATCTCTAGCTCGTTCCTAGGACAAGTGGCAAGATCCCATTCCTCATGGAAAACTCAATTTCCACCCTGCAACTCTTTCAGCTCACTCTCTCCTGTTTTGAACAGTAAGCTTCTTGGGAAGCTTGTTCATGTCCGATGATTCCACTACTGTGTCTCCCATCTACTTGCTGCGACTTCTGCTCCTAGGATTTCCTGCCCTAAATTGCACATGGCAGAACCTTCGTGACCTTCTGACTCTAAAACTGATACTTCTCAGCCTATCTTACTGGACCTTTCTGATGCATAAAACATCTTTGATCCTTTCTTCTTTTTAAAGCTTTCTCTGAGCTAGCTTCCCCCTCCCACCAAGTACCTACTTTCACACTACTCTCCTATTTTCTCTGTAGGCTACTCTTCCCTTACCCCTGGTCATTTGCTTTCCTTTTCCCTCTTTACTGTGTTTCTCATGTTATTGAGTTGATATCATCCATACCCATAAATTTAATTATTACTTCCATGCTGATGACACTCAAATCTGTAACTCGATCTCCATCTCTCTCCTGCACTCCAGATCTAAATATTCAACTGAATAGCTGCAACTGATGTCCAAAAGGAACCTTCAAATACACCTTTCAGAAACTGCACTCTGTCAATCTCTACACATCTTCTCTTCCTTGAACATTCTTGCATTCACTTAGCTATTCAGGCAACAAATCTTTATGTCATTCCTAAATCCATTCTTCTCATTTCATGTTGAAATAACCTGGGGACAGAGTTGAAAAGCACTGTTCTAGATTGGTGATTCTCAAACTTCACTATGCAAATAAATAAGCTGTTAAATTGAAGAATCTGATCCATTAGGTCTAAAGCGGAGCCAGACATCCTCCATTTCTAATAGCTTCCAGGTGATGTGGATATTGCTGGACCTCATGTAGTCCTTTGAGAGACAGGGCTGGCAGTATCAGCATCCTCTGGGATGTGATTAAAATGCAGACTCTCAGATCCAATCCTGGACCCACTGAATCAGAAATTCTGTGGGATGAGCCTAGTAAGGCAATCTACGTTTTAAGAAGCCCTATAAATGATTCTGATACATGCTCAAGGTTGAGAACTACTATTCTAGATGATCTCCCTCTATATCTACAACACTAAAATATGTTGATTCCATGTGCTTACTCTTTGAATATCTATCCCTTTCTTTCTTTTTTTAAAAAAATTTTTAAAGTTGTGGGGTCCAATTCAGGGTTAGGTATACAAATGTTCATTATGCAGCTACCCTTGTTGATGAGGTATCCCTTCCTTTCTATCTTCAATGCTCAGAATTTTTTTTTCTAAAAAAGTATAATTGTCTTTCACCCAGATAAGCTTTTTCTTTCCTAACCGTGTCGCTTGTATACACTGGATCCCCTTCCTTCTTACCTATGTAAGGACTTTTCTCTCGTTACTGGATCATTCTCATCAGCAAACAAATATGCTATAATAACATATTCCATCCAAAAAAAAACCCTCTCTTGGCCCTAAATTTCCTTTCAGACATTGGTTATTTTCCATGTATCACCCCATTTCTTTGCTCCTCTTTATAACAATTTCTCAAAAAATTTTGGCTACATTCACTTTCTCCTCAACTTTATCTCACTTTCTTTTCTAAGTCTACTTCAATCAGAGTCTCACCAAAAACCTCTCCATGAAACTCTTTTGTTAAGGCCACTATGACCTGCACATTGCTACATTCAGCGGTCAATCTCATCTCTCATTTTACTCAAACTCCCAGCAGTGTTTGACCTGGCTAAAAACTTTCTTCTTGCAACACCCTACATGATCATGTCAAATCTCATGGCTTTAAGTACTGTATGCTGATGACTACCAAAAATATCTCCACCTACAATCTCTTTTTGGAATTCAAATAAGTATATCCATCTATCTGTGCGGCATCTTATGAATGTCTGATAAGCACCTTGAGCAAAGGTCTTCATTCCACGCTCTCTCATCTAAACCTACTCCTCCCAGTGTTCACCATTCATTCATTCCACAAATCATTAGTGAACATCAATTACGTGCTAGATTTTTTGAGGCACATGGGATAATTAGTGCCTAATACATAATCCCTGCCATCATGGACCTATAGTCTAATATAGACAATGAACTATTAACATAATAAATATGTAAATTGCATAGTATGTTAGAAGGTTATGGGTAGTGAATGCTATGTAAAAGAACAGAGTAGAGAGAAAGGATCAAGACTGGGGTAGCTCACCTCGGTTATAATGTAAAAGAAGATGATCCTGGGAGGCATAAGTGAAAAGGTGATGTTTGAAAAGCAGGATGCCACCTGAACATCATCTCATTATATGGCGCCAACCAATCACCTAGTTTTTAGTACAAAATCCTTGCCCTACTCTTTTGTTCACACCTTATCTATCCAGCATATATGTCTGTCTTATTGGCTCTACCTTCAAAATCTATCCCAAATTCAAGCACATCCTGCTTCCTGTGCTGCCATCACTCTGGTGCAAGTCATCATCATTTCTGTCC